GGGTTCTGTCCACCGCCGACTCTCAGACATCCAGCGTCGCCAGAGACGCTGTCTTGTTGGACGTGGTGGGGGCGGAATCAAGTCGTGCTGAATGGGGTCGGGTCGAGATCGGAATCGGAGCTTGGCGACCGGATCGGATCAGAGCGGACCGTGAGCAGCACCGAGAAAGGGTACGGTGGAGGCCCGCCAACCGCTGGCATCGGCCCTCGAGGATCGGCGAGGGGGTCTCTGGAGACGTTGTCTTGTTGGGCGGTGTTGTGGCGGAATCAAGTCATGTTGGATCGGGTCGGGTCGAGATCGGAATCGGAGTTTGCGACCGGATCGGATCAGATCAGACCGTGAGCAGCACCGAGCAAGGGTACGGGGGAGGCCCGCCAACCGTTGGCATCGGCCCTCGAGGATCGGCGAGGGGATCTTCCGAGACGTTGTCTTGTTGGGCGGTGTCGGTCCTCGAGGATCGAGGAGGGGTTCTTCCGAGACGTTGTTTTGTTGGGCCTTGTGGGGGCGGTTGAGCCCTCCTGGGGTGCCTCCAGGAGCACCGACAGGACTCCCGAGAGACCTCCAGGGTGCTCACGGGTCAGGACCCAGGACGGCCGCACAGCTTGCCAGAGGGGCACCCTCCTCCTCTTCCTGTTGCCTCCGGGCTTCTCCTGCCTCCTGCCTCCTGCCTCCACGAAGACGATGGCCCGCTAACCGTTGGCATCGGCCCTCGAGGATCGGGGAGGGGGTCTTCCGAGACGGGTCAGGATCCACAGGCCTCTGGGGTGCTCACGGGTCAGGACCCAGGGCGGGCGCACAGCTTGCCAGAGGGGCCTCCTCCTCCTCCTCCTCCTCCTCCTCCTCCTCCTCCTCCTCCTCCTGTTGCCTCCGGCCTCCTCCTGCCTCCCGCCTCCTGCCTCCACGCGGACGATGGCCGCGGCGTGGGCGGCGGCAGTGGCGGCGGCGGCGGCAACGGCGGCGGCGGCGGCGGCGACGACGACGACGACGACGACGACGACGACGACAACGGACGGGGGGCCTCGAGGGCCGCAATCGGCCGCCCGTCGTCGAGATCGGCGCCGCCGAGATCCAGCCCGTCCACCTCCCAGGGCGGCCCCGCCGCCAGCCCGCCGCCGACGCTGTCGGCGACGGTCGTCGCCGCCAGCGTCAACAGCGCCGTCGCTGCCGACGGCCGCCGCTTCAGACGGTCGGCGCCGCCAACGCCATCGTCAAGGGCGCCGTCGCTGCCGACGGTCGCCAGCGCCGACGGTCGGTCGGCGCCGCCAACGCAACCGTCAACGGCGCCGTCGCTGCCGACGGTCGCCGGCGCCGACGGTCGGCGCCGCCAACGCCAACGACGTCGCCGCCGCCGCCGCCGTCGTCTCAGTCGGCGTCGGCGCCGCTCTCCGCCGCTCGCCGTCCCAGGAGGCGGGCGCTGGCGCGCGCAGGTGGCGGTGTGCGCCGGCGGGCGCCACGAGGCACGACGGGGAAGCCCCATTCTAGAGGAGGAGGAGGAGGAGGAGGAGGAGGAGGAGGAGGAGGACGCCCGGGCCTGGGGCCTCCTCTGGAGCCACGGGGGGGTCGACGGGGAAGGTCGACGGGGAAGGCCCTGGGGAAGGCCCTGGGGAAGGCCCTGGGGCCTCCTCGGAGGCCACGGGGAAGGTCCTGGGGAAGGTCCTGGGGAAGGCCCTGGGGAAGGCCCTGGGGCATCCTCGGAGGCCGCGGGGGGGTCGACGGGGGGCGCTGGAAGGGGGTCGACGGGAGGCGCTGGAAGGCCCGGGAGGCTGCAGGAAGCCTCAAGAAGAGGGGGGGAGGGCCTGGAGGGCCGACAGCAAGAAGAAGCAGGGGTGCCCCGGAGGGCCCGAGAGGCGCCGCGGCACCGTGCGCGGGGGAGCGGAGGACGGTGGAGTGAGGGAAAAAAGGGGGACGGAGGAGGGAGAACGGAGGAGGAGGAGGAGGAGGAGGAGGAGGAGGAGGAGGAGGGAGAACGGAGGAGTGAAGGAGGAATGAGAAGAGGAGAAGGAGGAGGAGGAGGAGGAGGAGGAGAAGGAGGAGGAGGAGGAGGAGGCGACCGCTGGCGACGAACACCCTGAGCAGGAGGTGGGGGAGGACAGCGCAGGTATGCAGCGTCACCAGGAGCGGGCGCGCGACCCATCCGCCTGGCCGTGCCGCCCCCAAAAGAGGAGCGGGCCACCGAAGCCACTCCCTGCAGCCGTCAACCGCCGCCACCACCTCCCGCCAGCCCCAGCGGCTCCAGGAACTCCAGGTTGAGCTCCCGAACGAACGGCTCGCCAGGCTCGACCACGCCGTCGAAGCTGAAGGCGGTGATCTCGGCGGTGCTCTCCCCAGCCGCGCCGACCAACACCTCCACGCCAGCAAGAGGTCCACGTCGAATGCGAGCACACGTGTCGGGGGCGACAGCGGGCGGGCCCCGACCAGGGCCGCGGCGGCGGGGCAGCACCGAATGGTCGTCCGCCCACTCGTCGTTCAGCTCCGCCTCATCCACCTCGCCCGCAGCACA